ACATCATCATCAAAATCTATAATATTTTCCCAACAATTTCCCCCTTTTTGATGATGACAAACAAGTGTTTAAGAGTTCCGGTCGCTGTACTGAGAACTAATTTTATAACTTTCTTTTAGTTTCTCATAATATACAGCTTGTTAACAAAAACTCTTAAACAAATACAATTCAAATTACAATAATTCCTAAACCAAGTCTTCACTACGTCAAAAACAGTATCAGACGACTGTTAATTAACTACTGTTTATAGAAACACAGTAGTTAAAAATAAGCAGACTACTGTGTGTTTTTCTTGGCTACAGAATAGTAGTCTAGCTACTATGCTTTAAAACTATTTTTAAAGTTTCGAGAAACGGTAATTTATCATTAGTTGTCTGTGTTAGTTTAAAATACAGTTTTTGTTACAACAGTTGTCAATAACAAGTTAAGAATACTCTATTTAAACGGTAGTCTGAATTTTAAGTTTAGAACTGTTTTTAAACTTATTAGAAACGGTTATCTATTGCTAGTTGTCTGTTTCATATTGTTTTTTTGTCACAGTTATTTATAATAAGAATAGAACACTCTATTGTAACAGTAGTCTATGAATTAAGGATAGAACTATTTTTAAAGTTGTGAGAAATAGTAATCTATTATTAGTAGTGTGTTTCATCTAAAAATACAGTTTTTGTTGCCACAGTTGTCAATATCTAGTTCAGACTACTATTTCTAAGCAGTAGTATGGTTTTTTAGTTTATAATTGTTTTTAAACTTATAAGAAATAGTAATCTATTATTAGTTGTATGTTTCATATGGTTTTTTTTTGCATAATTGTTTATTACTCCCTCCGTCCCGTTATATTCGTCCACTTTTGATTTTTAGAACTGTTCATCTAAGCACTTTGACTCATCAAATTCTCTCAATGTGTAAGCCTAAATATAGTCATGTGTGATCTTGTTTGATTTGTCTTAACATATAGATTATTAATATATAATTTTTATAATTTTTTAATATACAAATTACAAGATAAAATGGATTAAAGAAGTGTATTTGATGGTGTACAAAAATAAAAGTGGACAAATACTCTGGGACGAAGGGAGTATAAGAATAGAAGACTCCCTTGTAACAGGAGTATATCTATATAGCGTAGAACTATTTTTAAAATTCATAGAAACCGTAATCTATTACAATGAAAAATGTATACGCTCTCTAACTTTACTTTCATACTTGCGGGCAAAATTTATACAACAATCAAATAACCGTTGTTTCAAACAAGTATATGGACATGAAAAAATAAACACTTCAATTGAAATGAGAGAAAAAGTACATGGACAGACTGTGTACTGTCTCGCTACACACGAAAGGAATTGGGAATCCATACAATCAATCAATCTCACTCATAAAACGAAAAAAATAAGAAGATGGCGACATCCAAATAGAATCTACGATCCAAGGTGAATGTAGAATGGTGGCCCGAGGAACATAAAGCGTCCGATGTATCCATCACACACAAGCTTTGGATCGCCATTAGTGTTAGAAACAAGGCCATCCACTAGAGGGGCGTTTTTCTTTGAGTTGACATCTTGAACTTCTTTACTGAACATGCTTCATCAATCTGTTGGGGGGATGGGAGAGACCTGTTCATGCTCAAAAATAACAAAAATCAAAGGGTCAGATAACACCCTGATAGGGTTGTTCGTAGGGACATTTGGGTCAGAAAGAATATCATCATCCCCATTTTTGGAACTGTCTTGTGTGCCATCCAGTTTATCCCCAAGGGGTATAGTGTGTGCATCACCAAGGTGGGGTTCCAAGTAGTCACTTGCAACTTCATTGGGAGGGGCAGTAGTGGCATAATCATCTGATTTATCCACATTTAAGAGACTCTCATTTAAAGGGACAATATTTTTTGTAGTAGGGACAATAGTTTTTGAGGCACTCTCATTCACTACCTCACATTTGGGGCCAGTAACAATAGTTTTTGAGGCAATAGTTTTTTTTGTAGTAGGGACAATATTTTTTGTGCAGGCTTCCTTGCCATTTCCATTAGCAGAGGTAAGAACCTCAGGGGCATCATTAGTGACAATAGCATATGGAGCTAAGGGAGCAAAAGTAAGATAAACCAGGGATAACAGGAGTAAATCCAGCAGCAAGTACAGCTCCAAACTCCAACCCGTATGTTGCCCAAGCAATTCTCAAAGTTCTGGATATATCAACAGCCCAAACCCAACACAAAAACCCTTAAAATTCAGCAGCATTCCGTGAGAAAAAGGCCACCTGTGAAGAGGTTGTCACTGTCCAAATCACAGGAAATAGCCTTAATTTCAGCAGCACGTAAAATTCAGTCCATTGCAGGTCAAAACAGCGGCTCCAGCAAACCTTTTAAGTTCCAATTTCCTGCCCAGGCACACAGCAAAGTAGTTGGGCAGGTTGGAGGTCCAAACATCAGCTTTCCTAGGGGTAATATCCAGACAGTAGTTTTCCAAGAGTACAAACATCAGGTCCAAATCATTATCACCCATGGGCATTGGACTGCTAGTGCATTCATATGAAAGATCAGACCAAAATACCAATTTAATTTAACTGGCCACCACATTGAACAATCACAGGTCACGCACCATAGCAAGCCATCAAGAAAGAGCAACATAAATTGGTGCAAAAATCCAGCATCAAAATCTCGAAGTAGTCTCGCCCAATAATCAACAAAATAAAGCAAAAAGGAAAGGTCCAATAATAGCACAAAGTAGAAACATAGTTCATATTGTGTACAGTAACCGCACACCCAAAATCAGTCTTCAATCACAAGATTATTCATATGGAATTGTAATCCATGATAATACCTTGATGGACGATTTTCTCTATCGGACAAGAGATGGTGGTGATAAATGTTCTCTATCATACAAGAGATGGCAGTGATTTTGAAGAAGATGACGGAAATGTTCTCTATCATCTCTATCGGAGAAAGATATTCTGAAGGCCGGGACGGGATAGACCTAATTGCCAAATTGGGGGCACATATTAGTCGGGCAATGAAAAATCTGGAGGGATTTTAAAATTTGAGATTAACTTGAAAATATTTAGAAGCAGCAATTTGATTTTTGAAACAAAAAAGTTTTTTGGTCCATAAATATCTCATTTTTATGAACCACCTTCAATTAGGTCTGGTCGGTCCCGAAAAATGAAAAAATAAAATTGGCCCGGTCCAAAATTTACATTTTATGCCCTATTTTATATTTTTAAAATACTTTTGCATTAAAATTATTAACAAATTTAAAAATATGATGCCCTAAAGTTTGTTCGATCCGATTAGGTCTGTTTTAGTCTGATTCGATCTAATTAGATCCGATCTAATGCGTTTAAAGATTATATCTGGAAAATAAGACACAACCTTGGCAAGTAAATTGATTTTTTTGAAGATTAATTCTGATCTTATTGGATTTGAATTTGATTTGATCTGATTAAATTTGTATTAGTCTGAATTCGATCTAATTTGATGTGATGTAATGCATTTATAGATTAGATCATGCAAACAAGACACGACCAAGATAATTAAATTGTTTTTCTGGAGATTTGATGTGATCTTAATAGATTTTAATTTTACTTGATTTGATTAGATCTTTTTTTGTCTGATTCAATCTAATTAGATTCGATATGATATGATGCATTTAAGGATTAGATCAGACAAATATAACACGACCTATACAATTAAATTGATTTCTTTTAAAATTTGATTTGATGTTACTAGATTTGAATTTGATTTGATTCGATATTTTTGAAGATTTGATCTGATCTTATTGGATTTGACTTTGATTTATTCTGATTAGATCTGTTTTTGTCCGATTTGATCTAATTAGTCCGATTATTCCCCATCATATCCATATTCAATGTAGTAATACATCATTTTATTATATGTAATAGTACCCTAGCAGGTGCAAACTAATCAGTTAGTAAACACGTAGTTTTTCGTACGTTAAGTACATGTATTAATATATGTATGACCATATGGGTGATCACTTTATGTTCTGCTGTTAGATTCACTCTTCAGCTTTTGCTGAACGTGTAGTTGTTTTTGCTATACGCGGGTAGACATGACGGTACCGGGGTTTACCTTGGAAAATAGTGATGATGGGAAGATGGGCGGTGCACGGACAAGTTTAACATTTATATTCATTCAATTTAAACATTTGGGCATGAACCCACCATTTGTCGTTTAATTTATTTTGGACTGGACTTATCTATTTATTTCCGCTTTTACTCTGCATTTATATCACACATGTTTTGGGAATAACTCCCTAGCATTTATTTCATCAATTAAACCCAACCGTTTTTCATAATAAATACACATTAATATTTTACGTTACGGATGGTTCTCAGACCGCCCATGTAACCCTACCGGTCCATTGGGTCGCGGGTGAACCGGGTCCACGGAAGACGTGTGTTACACTTATTAATGATCTGATTTGGTATAATCTTATCTGTTTGTGTATTTTTGAAATACAATATGTAGGAGAGTATGAACGATGGTGTCTTTTTAAAAAAAATTGAGATGAAGAATATAAAAAATCAATTTTAAAATAATTTCAAATATTATTTTTTGTGTTTCTCATATCTAGGATGATCTTTTCAATATAAATAGGGAAAGAAAATGAATGATGTTTGACCTACGAAAGGTATAATAAAAATTTCAAATAAACTTGTTTAAAAAAAGGATTTTTAAAATTTTTTTGAAATTAAATCTAACAAGTTAACTAGATAGATAGTGGTGAAAAGCCTATATACTAAAAAAATCGTAAAATATAATTAATTAGTTTAAAAATGTTTTTTAAGTATTTTTAAAAAAATGAAATATTACAATTTAAAGTTCATAGTGATTAAAAAAGGTATAAGAAAGGTGAAAATGTAGTGGTTACCTTGAATTAAATAAAAACGATGTGGTCAATTTATTAGAAATAATAATATTTTTGAAAGTATTTTATAAAATAAATATAAAATTATTTGGTAACATCATCTAAAGTCAATTTTTTTAAGTGTAAAAACGAAAGAAAACAAAAAAAATTTAGAACAACAAAAAATAAAAAAAGTAAAAAAACTTAAAAAAATAAAAAGTAAAAACGAATCTAAAAAATAAAATACAACAAAAAATACTCCGTAGAATGTAAAGTTTGTTTTGGGAAGGAAGGAGTAGAATCTAAGGGTGGGAAAATGAAAACAATAGAGGGAAGGGAAAATTTTTGACAAAAATGAGAGAGGGAAAAATACCGCCATTTATTTAGGTAGGAAAAAGCTATGTGTACACCATATGTGTACACCACTTGTACACCATACATACCCCTCCCCCCTAACTTTCCATAACCCCCTCCCACTACTCCATCCCCCATCTTTCCATAACCCCCCTGCTCTCTCTCTCTCAGAGATTTCTCCGACGAAACATACTGGAAGAGCATCCCTTCTTCGAGAGCTTCTCCTTCGTCTTCCCCGTTCTTCCTCTGCAGCAACCCCTACTTCGCCATCCTCTATC